TCCCAAACCCTGGCTTAAGATGCCAGGGGAGACATGATAGTTATCTATCCAGCCTGTATCATTCTTGCTTTTCTTGGGGGATTGCACCGAGTGACATATTTGGTAGCTAGAAAGAATATACTAGGAGCAAAGCAAAACAAAGTCATACAAGTCTGCTTCCTCAATGACCCGCACATAGGAGACAGACTTGAGAAGAAGTATGAGGGGGGAGGAGAAACCACCACTGGTTACTTCTTCTTGCACAGTTCCTGCCAGAGACATGAGTCAAATCTTTCCAGCTGAGTAGAAAAGGCCCCTACTCCTCTAACCATACCCTTCCTACTCTCACAACTCTGGAGTTGTCCCTGTAGATGAATGCAACTCCCATTTTGCTCCCTCTCGGGAACATCTTTTTAAACAAAATGCTTTCTCCCTTTTTGCTTCACACAGAGAATCAATTCTTTAAAATGCAGAAAACTGTCAGATCTCAAAGAACTGCTCCCCCTCATCTTCACAGTTGTTAGAAGTCTGAAATTAACGTATTTTAAATTGTTTAAATTAGGCTTTTTGTTTGTTTTACTTATTCTACTTTCATCTTTCCATTTGTTGAAAGACCAGATTTCTTCTTGTACAATTCATTACATGCTCTTCAAGAAGAGGAGGGGGGTGGGGGGAATCACAATAGGGACTCAATGCTCTCATCCTACTAGGCTTATGCCTAGTATGGTAAATGAACATGCCTGATAGAAATACATATTTGTAAGCAGACAGGACTTGCTTTGTCACAAAGAAATATTTTTTGTTAGCTCACTTTGTTTCTGTGCATCACACTCATTCCTTTTCCATCCAGTTGCTGTAAATAAGTGACCAACAGGAAATATTTCAAGGAAATACTGAAGGCAGGCATTGAGATTTCTCTCAAGTGAATAGCAGCTGCCATTAAGCTGCCACATAAGTGAGAGTGCAACCTATGAAATCCAGTTCTGGAACTACTGCTCCTTCAGCAAACACTGATTAAAACACTTTGATAATAGGTTCTCCATCTGCAAAGCCCAGACAGGTTGGAGCTCTACACCCTGCATCATTCCCCATATTCTGTTCTCCATATTCAGAAAGTTAGGGACAAACCTCAACCACCTTTAAATTCACATTTCAAAAGTCCAACACAATGTGTGTCATCTAGATTTTATGATCAGATACAAGATACAACTCTGGAGTGAGAATCAGAGTTACTTTGGACCAGATTCCAGACAGAATTTCAAACCTTAATCATAAGTTGTGTTCTAGTAACACAGAAATTTAGCAGCTGCCTAAGCCTAAGAGGTGCCAAAGCTCATTATACACTTCTCTGGTTTTATTATTTAAATCCGAATTTTCCCTATCTGTTTGCAGATCTACTTCTCACCACAGTTAACACAGACCTGAAACCAACTAGCGAGCTGCAGCTCACAGGTATTGCTGACCTCACCACCAAGTTTTGCAATTCCAGCTGCTCAGTGGAACAGTTTTAACAAAAGGTACCGAGAAACAGTCTGCAGACTAGTTCCCTAAATCTCAGCTCAGAGATGCTGTTGATAAGCAAAACATGATTTTCAGGCTGAGGAAACTAGACTCCATTCCCTAAATGTTACCAAGTGATGTTATAATCACTTATTTCTGCAGAAATGCTGGAAACACAAAACAGAGCACAGATCCTTGTTTAAAGAACAGCTGTAAGAACCTCCTTTTCACAGAATGCTCTGGGGATTGGGATCCCAAACACATATAGGAGCCTTCCTGGCGTAAGTTTCCAAGAGGGCTCAGAGTGCAGACAGCAGCATATGCTGCTTCCCATTAGCTAGCTCAATTATATCTTCAAGGTCCTAAAAATGACCCTCTCCTCGAAAGAAACTCAAACAGCCCACTACTGATAGCATTTACTGTAGTAGGTCACCAGTGGTTCAGGCAAGGCAGAAGCAATTTACAATTCTACCACACCTTCAACATAACAATTAACTGCATGATTGGATCAACAGATCAAAAGAATCTGTTCTTTAAATTTAAAAAGGTGCTAAGCTAACCCAGCTGTTACCTGATACAAATACAGGTCCTCTTCCATTACCACAGAAAAACCCAAACCAAAAAAAAATACTATCTTGCAACTGATTTAATTATTGGTGTGCTAAATAAAGGTGTGCTAAACCAGCACAGAGGTGAACTTTGCTTGTCAATCAGTAACAGTGGGCTATGTGAACTAGGAAAGAAGGTAGGTAAGGATCACAAGTATTAATATGACAGCAGCAGAATGTAGATGCATTATGAAATGTGAGGTATTAATATATGTATTTCACCTTGTATATGTATGGCATATTAAAAAGAGTTAATCAAGAACCAGATCAAATTTATTACTTGGAGGGTGTGTGTGTGTAATAATTCAACCTTGAAGAAATGTTACAATAAAAATTGTTGTTCCGACCAATGCTGCTTCCTATAAAACTCCGGTATATTATGAAATCTTGGCAGCACAGTGTTATCTGATTCCGGAAGTTCTTCTGTATTTCTCCCACGAGTTAAAGGGCCAGCTTCTAGCTGGAAGAGCCAGCTTCCTTTCAACTAATCTGTATCTCATCTATATCTCTTTAGTAGTATTCAGTTTGCTTGCATGTTTAGCAGAAGTGTGAATTAGTTTTGAGGGACCTCCTGAAATGGTTCTGTAATCTGAAACCAAACTCTCTTACTCTATTAATCTCGCTCCGAAAACCAGAATATCTACACAGCTCCAGGTTAACCAAGAACAATTCAAATCTGTTGACACGTCTCACAAGTGCTAAGCATTTCTGGACAGAAGTGCAAAATCAAGTCAACTGCTCAGAAGGCAAAATATAGATTTAGGGTCAAGATTCCTGTTTCTCTCCCACTCCATCCCTCCCTAACCAAGATCATAAATTGCAGTCTAAGAGACACCTCTTCAGCAGCTGACTAGCTCTATAGCTCCCTAAGCTTGCAGGTTTTTCCCCATTTGACCTGGAAGTTCCTGCAGCTCGCATCTTCCAACAGAAAGCTGGACAGGTACTACACATGGGAACAAAATAGCTAGAAAAGTGTACATAAGCCCTTAGAGAGCTCAGTCCAGGAAGCATGTTCAGCATGCCCATAGGATCCAGATCCTCATAAAATCCACCAGAGGAGAATGGACTACAAGAGTAACTGGGTGGTTACAGTTCAGTCAGATCTACAGAAGAGCGAGGGATGGAATCCAGCTGTGTACCTACCAGTCCTAGAAATGTGCTTGGCTGGAGTTTTTGAAAGCAAAGCTCCTGTTTCTGAAACCATGCAACAGCGGGGCTAAGAGAGATTTGGACTTGGGTCTTGGGAAGGGCAGAAGCACCTGCCTATTGCTCAGACTTTAGCCAATTAAATTTCAAAAAGGAAAGGAGAACAGGATTGCAGGTAACCCCTGTGGCATGTCTCCTTCCATCTAAGCCTGGGCATGTTGGTTTTAGTACGCCTTGCTTGTCACAAGGGCAGGGGAGACACAGCAGAAGCAAGAGAGGAGATGGAAAAGTCATGATGAGACTAAGGACTTGCTGAGTCCAGCACAAGATGGTTAATTATGTTCAGTGACTGTCTTCACAATGCTCCAGTTTCAGCCATTGATTTAACTTTAAGTTTTCACCTGACAACTGACACTTTTTTTTTTTTTTTGGTTGACATCTTGGAACCTTGGTGTCTGTCACAGGTTGGCAGGTATCTCTGGAAGACCAAGTTAGAAGCCATGAGACTGAGTGAATTTACTGAGCCGATTTTAGAAAATAAGGCATAAGGGTTTTTACAGAGCCAGTTTGTTAATTTTAGGTTGAGGGAAGACAACCCCAATGTACAGAAACTTTTCAACAAAGCAAAAGTGCAATTTTTTCTTCCTGTCTATTGAGATTTAAAGAAATTCCTTCTGGAAAAAAATACAAAATGTAGCTGAAAAAATAGGCAAAACACCAATCTGTGCCACCAATCTGTGCTACAAATACCAACTCCTAAAACTTGTCTTGAAAAACAAAGATCAAAGTTTTTACTAAAAAAACTGACATACTTAACTGATCAGAATTCATTTGCAGCTTTAATAAAAAAATACCCATTTCTGCATGCACACTACGTCCTGTACATCATTAAAAACATGCATGCCAATACCTAGCCATATGCTGTTCATGGCTAGCTCCCTTCTCATGAACAGTATACCTTGCATAATTTGAGAGATGAAGTTGTATTTGCTTTATATATATACACACACATATTAAAAATATAATGGAAAAGGGAGGGAAAGGGAAAAGGACTGAAATTCCCAGCAGCCTAACTTCCCTCTAACTTGAACACCCCAGTTATGTGGGTAAAAAAAATTAGGTGATATGAATCTAAGCCCAAGTATATTAAAACTTGCATAGTCTTATTTACATATCTAATATGTACTTCCAAGGGCAAGCTGCAAGGCTACAGCTTCTGTCCCTGCTAAACAATTCAAGCTCCAGCAAATATTTGAAGCAATCCTTGCTCAGCAAACATCTCAGCCTACCATCTTAAGGTGCCACATAACTAACCAGGACAAAACTGGCTTATTACCAGCAGCCATCTCACTAATTATTTATTAGTTTGGTGAATACAGAGTGATACTGTACCTCCCCAGGATAAATCACACTTAACCATACATACAAAGGACTGGTTCAGCTGTGCGGGGTGCCACAAACCTGCCAAATGAGCAGGTGAAGTCAAAGAGTGAATTCCCATGAATGAATCTGAGAAAATAACCTCAAATGGGGGACACCACCATTATTAAAGTTTTATATAAAACATTCATAAATACAACTTACAGCATTGTGTGATCTTCTGGATGTTAGAAGTTATGCGTTGGGCCAGTTGATTAGGATCCCCAAAACCCGCACTGTACGACATGGCTGAGTAGATTCGCTCTCAAGATCATCCACGATGGGAACAAGTCAGACAGTCTCCACCTATTAAGGAAACCTAAGCCCCCCCCGCCCCAGAAAACAGAGTTATGTCTTGGTCATTGGTTTACAACTGTATTCATCATCCTAAAGAAGAATACACAGGAAAAGATTAAAGAAAACTCCATATAGTAATATTTATCCTCTCCGAAAACACAGTACTTCAAAGACGGAATTTAAGGGAACACTTTCTTAAAAAAGTATTAAATAAGGATATGACATCCTTTTTGTATTTCCTACAATAACTCTTAAGATTCTTAGCAATACACACAGCTTAAGGTCTGCTATTACACTACAGCAGCTACATCACAGAAACTACAACCTTTGTCAAACTTCTTACATATTTTCCCCATTGTAAGCAAAGAAAAAGTATGAATTTTCATTTGTTGCCATTCCAGAAAAAAGCTGTACATTTAATCTGTCAATGCCAAATCCTCTGATGAGCTATGTCCCAAACCAATTATATGGTTATTTCCATACCATGTATCACCCATCCCACCAATACAACCTAGCATATATAAACCACTGGAAAAAAACCCAGCAGATATCACACAAGTTATCAGAATGAAGGAGGCACCCAGTTCCCTCTAAACACCAATCATTTGTATCAACTTCAGTTTTAGTTGTAATCCAGTTTCATTCTATGAATTGCCAATTTGTCCTGTTTCAGCTGCTGTGTTTCTCAATATGAAGTCATTTTTCAACAACTTGGTCATACTAATACATTTTTAGGGGTGTTTTTTGCACCTAAAACTATGGTATCTTATCTAAGGAGGTCAAAATCTTACAACACAAATACTCACAAATACACTTGCCCTAAAAGTACTCATATACAATCACACAGCATGTAACTATTAGAGTCATATAGCCTGCTTTCCATCCATACAGACCAAATTTCAGCACAAGCTCAAAGATACTCTAAATCTAAATTAACAAGACATAACTTAGGATACACATGCAAATCAAAACCATCCATTTATCTGTTCTGCAGTGAGAATGCAGACTAATCAAGCATACATGCATCCAACACAATCCCACAACTTCATCCAGGCTGTGCTTAGTCTTAACTTCATTCTTTCCAGTCACCTTCACGGGTTCAACATTTTAACCTCACCACTTCCCTGCACGTCCACTGTTCAACCCAAACCATGTGCCTTCCAAGCAATGTCCTCTTCTCCTAGCCTGTCAGCTTCTGGTTAACAGACACTGCTAAAATTCAATTTCAGGGAGAGGGAGAAAGCACATTTAAATGTTTAAACAGAAAAGAAGGAAATGAGAAGGCCAACTGATATGTCAAGTGTGATACCAGCTGTGCTACAGTTCGCAAACACAAGTCCTTATGAACTCTAATTTAAAAAAAATAATAATTAACAGTCCTTGTTGCCAAATATTATTTTCTTTCACCTTCGGAAATGCCTGTATTAATACAGCATGGCAACATCCTGGTTGTTTTACAACACGATGTTTTCATATCTCTATGATACGAAATGATCTCTAGTAGAGCTGCCAAGACATTGCACTGGTCAGACCCATGAAACATCCCACCAGAACTTCACCAGCAATATAACTACAGAGGTCAGGCTCACCCCTGCTGCCCTGCAGGTTACATTACCTATGCCGGACAAACAAGCTGCTCCTACTGCGAAGACAAACCCTGCACGATTTTGAAATGGCTGCTGTAGCAGGGTCCCAAACCCTGCTTTGAGTCTTCAGGCCGTAACGTATCCTCTAGTAATGAACAACCTCACTGCAGATGAGGTGACAAGGAGTGTATTTGCACTCTTCTGTGTACTTGCTGCACAAACACCCGCCAGTCATGCTAGCTCTCTGCAGTATTGTTTCCTGTCTTTGTCTGTACCACATGCAGATTCAAGATATTTCGAGTCACAGACTAAAGTCTGAAGTCAGCCAGTCAGCCAGCCTAAATCCCACTTATCTGGTCTGAGGCTGGCATAACAACCTTTGATCTTTTTGGAAACTCTAGGCAATATTCCATTGAATTTGTACTGTAAGACCAAACCCATGGAAACTTTATAGCGAAAAAATGGCTCTGTGCCTTGGTATACTGACTAAGTAAGGAAATTCTAGCAATTTAGCGGAAAATATAATCATAGGCATAAAATCCAAAGAAACCACCTAAAAGAAGTTAGTTTGAAAAAGAAGATTTCTCAGAACTGTTGACACTGTTTGTTTCTTTTTAAAGTTATGACTATTTCTAGACATATTAGGAGCATGCTAACTACAACGCCAGCACTGGCTAAAAATACTTTTTAGTTAAATATTATATTTAATGTTAAAAGTTAAACATTAAAATGCAGCTGCTCGGGAGAAGAGATAGCAAAAGACCAAATTACCTGGTGTAGAAAGGCTACAGAACTAACTGAAATAGTCCTTCATGATAGTTTTTTCTCCCATCATATTGGTATTCATGAGACAGCTGCCTGTAACACTGTTCTCAGCAACAGCTTTACAATCAAGAGATCTACACAAAATATTTCATCCAAGTCTTGACAAAAGCAGTGATTGACTTTCTTGTTTTGTCTTGAAAATTTCTACATTTAACCATATCTTTAAACAAGTTACACCGCACTATACTGACAAATGTACAGATTGTACAATACCTAAGACTTTGAGCTTTTCAACTTTCTAGCTACATAGTTGGGCTTCTAGCTACATAGTTGGGCAGCCAAACACAACACCTAATGAAAGGATGTTCAGATGACAAACTGCAAAGTCCAAAGGATACAGTTTAGCTTTTCACCTGCATGTGTAGATCTCCGATTGTTTATACAATTCTTTGTATCAACACACATATTTCAATTGAGATTTATAGTAAATTTGTAGGATAGCAGTGCAAATTCACATCTGTTTTACTCCATACAAATTCTTCCACCAGCAACGCTATTACCAAGCATGTTAATAATACAGGTTGGTGACAGGGTAAGCTACTGGTCTGGAGAACAGACAGAAGGAGAGGTAAGGGGTCAGCCATCAGCTCTCACTGCCTCCCAGTCTTCACCACAAACTCCCCAAGTCAAGAAAAAACAAACTGAAGAGCTCAAAGAGAAGGAAAATATTGTATTTGTTTATTATTATTTTTTAAACGGGAAGTTTGAACTTCTTCCTCATTCTAGTTCTCAAAGCAACATGGGTGTCTGAACCGAATGAACACCCTACTTCCACTCACACACCCTTTGCTCGTTAGTGCTGAGTTACTCAAACTCCTCTGAAAACACAGATAGCTGAGCCCTTGGGAAGCCAATGGGAGTTTTGCTAATGGCTTTGACAAGGTTAGGGTTTCAACCACCAGGAAACAAAACAGACACAGGCACCAAGCACTTCCTTCCATATCAAGGTGATAGGACCATTCATCAAGACCCTGAATTTCCATAGAAATTACCTCTTTTCACTACTCTGTTGTGACGTATTTTGGTATTACTGCCTGCATAACTTTTAAAATGGGAAAGTTAATAACCTGCTGCAGCTGAGAGAGGTACACTTTGCATTCAAAGTGGAACACAGCTACATCTGTGGTAGTCTTCAGTTCCTCTAAAAGTTTCAGTTGGGTGTGAGCTTTTGATTGTACCTTTTATTTTCTGCTCAACATCTCTGTCTTTGAATGGGAGTATACCTCGTAGCAACTAGGCTTGTCGAGCTACTGAAAAAAGCCTGAAGAACTGAGTCTACTGGCACAAATGAAATAATCAGAACACTTCATCAACACTCACTGAAGCAAGACCTCTCTGTACATACATGAAATTCAAGGAATTCAAAGGATCACCATATATTTTTCCTAATTTCTACATTAACTGGTTCCTGCATCACACTGTAACTCCATACCCAAGCAAAAAATTAACCTGAATATCAACTTGTTTTCTAGAAAGGTGTTTGTCAGGCATGGAGAAAAATCCACTTTTCCTTTGCTATTTCCAGCCAGATCACTGCCAAATGCAGAGACAAGAAAGTGGGAACTCCATAACTGAGCAGCTCCCCAGTGCCATTCTTGAAAGCTCCATCAGGACAAAACGATGTGTCATGACAGGCACAGCACATGTTAGATCTCAGCAGCAGTCACCTAAATATCTTGCTGGTTTCAGCTGGGATAGTTAATTTGCTCCTTAGTATCTGGTACAGTGCTGTGTTTTGGTTTTAGTGTGAGAATAATGTTGGTAAGACACTGATGTTCTAGTTGTTGCTAAGTAGCACTTATCCTAACTTAAGGATTTTTCCACCTCCCATGTTCTCCCAGCGAGGAGGTGCGCAAGAAGCTGGGAGGGAGCACAGCCAGGACAGCTGATGCAAATTAGCCAATGAGATATTCCATACCATAGAATGTCATACTTAGTATATGAACTGGGGGGAGTTGGCCAGGAGGGGCCGATCGCTGTGCAGGCATCGGTCAGCAGGTGGTGAACAACTGCATTGTGCATCACGTGTCTTTTCTTGGGTTTTAACTCTCTCTCTTTTTGTTACATTCCTTTTAATTACAATTATTATATTTATTATTATTATTATTTTTAGTTATTAAACCATTCTTATCTCAAGCCAAGAGTTTTACTCTCCCCCCTCCCCAATTCTCTTCCCCATTCCACTGGGAGCAGGGAGGAGTGAGCGAGCAGCTGCGTGGTGCTTACTTGCTGGCTGAGGTTAAACCACAACACTTGCAGACTCCAGACAGCTACAGTTAATAAGCACCTAATCTATTTTGTATTTTCTCATTTAGACAGTCAAAGAGTTTTCCTTCTCCTATAAATCGTGCCCCCATACATTAGGATAAGAACCCTTAAACAATAATTTTACTGTTTAAGCAATGTTTTAGCATTAGGACCTAGAAATGTTTACATGGATCCTTAACTTTGAGAAGGCAAAAAATACATGCTGCATTCCATAGAAATGCTTGAAAATTTAAATCTGATCTGAATTAGGATTTTATGCCTTTAAATATCCAGAGACAAGTCATGAGGCTTTCTTGTATGCGATTTTTTTTTTTCCTAAATAAAGGTCACAGAAACAAAGCTTCTCCCAAACAACTCCTAAATGTGACTTCCTTTGTAAACTACTGCCAAAAAAAAAGTGCAAAATCCTTCAAGCAGGGTGAAAACACAGGCAAAAATGACAAACTGCTGAAAGACTTTGGCAACAATAAATCACAGCCAGTCACAATGTTAGCTACAGAAAATTTGTATCATAGTAACAGCCATGATTAGTAAGATTCCTCCAATATAACATTGCTCAATTTATTTCACCTCAGTAGGTTTTACCACCCAAATACTGAGATGAGACAAGGTCCATCTACAGAGTGACTCTGGTATCTACCTATGGCAACTTGAAACACATTACCATCTTCGGACAGCATCTGCTGCTGACTTTAGCAGTAACTTTGCAGCAGGTAAAATTAATACTTAAAAAAAAAAGCTGTTGGAATAAAGGGCAGACTGTACACTGTAAGATAAGTACTCCCTGCTACAGCACCTGAGGGATTCTTATAACCGACTCATAGCAACTGACTTAGTACTACACAGGTGAGCATTAAATCTGTCACTATTTTTTCTAGTGGGGATGATGGAGGGTAAGCTTTTTCTGGATTTATCTATTTTCTCCCCTACACTTAGACTAAAATATTTTGAGACAGAGATTGTATTTTCCACTTTGTGCTTTTACAGCCCCTAATGTGCTGGAATCCTGGTCCACAAAGGCAGGCTGGGGGCTTCCATAATACAAAACCAACTATGGAGCATAATAAACATGCAAACAAAATAGCAGTAAAACAAAATCCTTCCTGCCTTCTTAAAAGAAAACAAACAAACAAACAAAAGTTTTCCAGATTTTCTTTTATCATCTAGTTTCAGGGAGAAGTCAAACTTAAATCCATATAGGGTAGGAAAAAGCAAAGCTTATTTAAAACTTTCTTTGCTCTAATGCAGCAACACTAACATAAAAGATGTCAAAAGGTAATTTTCTATTCCTCTCTGCCCAGTTCCCTCAGCCTTGCCACACTACTCATGCTGAAATATACCAAAACCAAGCTCACATTGTGTAACAGCTAGAAGTATTTTTTTTGAAAGAAAAAAAAAATACTAGATGTGACACTGGTCAGTGTTTTAGTCATTTTCCCTAGAAATTATTCTGTCCAACAAAGACGTAATTTGAAGCGGTGGCATTTAGAACTGCCCAGTGTGGAAAACTAAATCACAGAAGCCTGAAATACTATTAGGCCTAATGCTTCACCAATGCTCACCGTATATGGCTAAAAAAAGACTATGTTTATCGTTGTCCGATTCATCCACACCAATATTTATAATGAACTAGGTGAAGGAAGCACATAGCTTTCACAAGCCTAAGAGAACATATTAGTTCTCGGGGAAATGCCTTAAGTAAAGGAATTATGTTTCCTAGGTGCACACAAAGCGTTTAGAGGCCCGACGATGAAGCAGGAATAGGAAAATGAACACTGGGTACTGGAATTATTGGGGAGAGGAGGGAACGGAGGGCTGAAAACAGACCTGAGATGGCCATTTCAAAGTGCCAAGTTTCTTGTGCTGCTGATAGACAATGTCTCATGGGAAAACGAAGATGGATCAGAACCACAGGACATCTAGCACGCTACATGTTCTCACCCAAGTCTCCCTAACGGCAGCGTGTTCACTTTGAACCAAATGCTCAGATCAAGTACACTGAGGGAGAAGTTATCTTTGCACAAACATCTGATTGTGCTGGATGCTGAGGCTCTCTGAGGCCTACCAGGATGCTAATGGCTACTTATAGCTCACGTTCTCTTCCCCCCCCCCGCAAGAGTTTCACTTCAACGTAAGCCACCACGAAGAGTGCTAGTTAATATTCTGATAAAAGACTACAAGAGATGTCTTCATGAAGGGAACACAAATCAGTTTATAACAATGCCACCATTTAGCATCACTTTCTTCTAATTTTAATATATTTTAACTTTTTTTTTTTTCTCCTCTTTTCCTTCTTTTCTATTAACAGCACTTGCACAAAACCCTCAGCTCCAAGCAGAAGGGCTGCACTGCTGGCAAAGCACATGCCTGAATGATGACCGGTCAGGAGGGCTCCGCTCGCCCTGCCAGCTCGGCTCTCTGCCTTTGCATGGCTTGTTCATCAGCAGAGGGGTTCACAACACGAGCACATCGCTTCTGGCAATAAGCGCCCTGGGATCTTATCACTAAGCTTCAATTATGATGCAGTGCCTTGCACTTCACGCAAAGCAGAGCGAAACCTTCCACTTCCTTCTACAGTTTCAAGAAGTGCCCATTTCTAATAAAGCGGTGAGTGGCTCACCAGGAAAGCAGTGATAAGATCGGGCCAGGGGCCTGACGCGCCAGGCCCGGGCTTGCTATTTACATAGGTGATTTTTCTAATCTCCCTTCCTCCTGCCGACATGCCTTGCTCACCTCGGATCTGGAACAGCACGGGGAGCGTTTCGATACGGCGAAGGTGACCATCCTACCCTACAGTCCGACATAAGCTGCGGTAAAACAAACACCAGCTGCAGGCCCCGCGTCCCTCTCTGGAGCATCGCGGCCAGCGTCAAGCCCAAAACCATGACATCAGGGGGTGCCACGGGGAGGGCTGCGAGGCAAAGGCTGACACGACCGACCGCGCTACAGAACCGCGCCGCGCCGCGCCCCGCGGCCCGGGCCCTGCCCGCCCC